AAAAAAACCCAAAACCAAACCAAACCAAACCAAACCAAACCAAAAAAAACCACACCAACTCAACTTACAATTCAGTGAAAACTGAATTGGATGCTGAAGTTTGCCTCCAGCCCTAAATTTAGGCTTATCTTTAATGTCAACCTTACATGCTGGGTAATCTTAAAGTAAAATTATCACTTATAAATGTTTGGATTGCACAGAATATTTTTCGGCCCTTTTTTTTTTTCCTTTCCACCTTAACATGTAAACACAGCCCTGAAAATTCCTTTGGTTAATGCTGGAAATGATGACACCAAAGGGAACAAAAGACTGTCAGACAAGCAGTGTATTAGATATTTTCTTTGCTAATTACATGACATATTTCTACCTTCTAAGCATCTTGCCCTGTTATTTCGCTTTATATTTTAGCTCTCTGAATCCATCCTCTTTTTCATCTTTGTTAGAAACTGGAGTTTATTAGTATTTCTATAATTATTTCAATATTTTTGCTTTGAACATTGCAGATGTCCTTAATCTGAATTTGACATCTTATATTACTCTAAAAAGGTGCACCCCAGAGTGCTTCAGATAGCAACCATGCATCATGGGGACTATAAACCAGAGTAACAACCAAGCCTGAAGAGAATGCTTGTGGACCCTACAGAAAATTATGTCTCTACTTTAAAAGATATAAGTAATTCACTCAACCAAGAAATTTTGAGTAGATGTAATTAACTTCATTAATTTTACCCTGTAAATGCAAGCAGCAATTGGAGGGAGGGGGGAGGCTCCAGCTTTTTAAAATCCATCATTCAGTTTCTAATCCCCTTCTATCACAGGTTTCTGACACATGGCTGGAAAGGGAAGAAACTCCTTTTAAGGATATTTTATGCCAGTGTATTCAGTTTTCTGTTCTTTGGAGCCTGTCTCTGTAGCTGCTCATTCCCACATTGTTGCAGAAGGTTTCTGGGCCCCACAGGTGGCACTGGCTCCTGAGCAAACCGTGGCCACGTTCGGAAAACCCAAACGTCATTGACAGTAACAGAAAAGGCCTAGCTAGCAGCAGAAATTGAGTTGGTAATAAAAAAGATATATTAATTATCATGTATGAGTGAAACAGCCGATACAGTTCAACTGCTTAGCACTCCTGTGGCTCATAACACAGTCTGCTTTATGACTTCAGCAGTCTATGCTGCAGTCACTGGTTTCTATTTATTTTTTAAACAACTACCCCCATATTCCTGCCACTATCACAGATTTAGCACAAATTCCCAACACACAGTCCTCTGAACTCTCCTCTTAATGCCCTTCAGCACCCACAGCCCAACACAAAAACAAAAAAACCCCACCATGCTGGAATGTGGTCTCACACAGGAGTGGGAGGCAGCGGCTGCCGGTGGCACCCAGTTGCTCTTCAGCTCCCTCACAGCTACATCAAGCAAGAGCATCCAACACGTGGGTGCTGCATTCCCCACAACTCTTCCAGTATGCCTTACTTTCAGGCTGCTTTTTGAAGTACATGAAAAGAAAATGCATTCCCCTACCCCCTTCATTACTGACTTGTAACCCAGTAAGTGATTTATTATGCTCAGTTTAAGAAACTTAGTAGAAGATGTTGTACGGCTATAATGAAGTCCTAGTTCCAACTATTTATACGTTGCAGTTTGTCATTCAGAAAGAGAACATGATTAACACGTCCCTGTGCATCCCACAGCTGAGGCTGGTGTACTGCAGCCCACTCTTCCCCAGCTACAAACCACTGCAAGCAGCATCTTCCAGCTCAGAGCATCACACACACGGCAGATATTGTTTGGGTTTGGTTTCTCCCTCCCCCTCCTAATGGAGCATTCATCTTAGGGGGAAATTCCAATTGGATGTGCAAAATAGAAGAGTTTTCACCATTCTCCTTTTCTTTTAACGGAAGTTTGTCCAGAGGAAAGGCTGACAGCCCTCCACCTGGCATGGCAGCAGTGGATTTCCCTCCTACAGATCACATCCCCTACTCTTGGATGCATTAACATTTGAGGGGTTTCCTTTGGGAGGGACACACACACATCAGCTGCAGATACTAAAATCAGTTTTCACAAACACAGAGCACAACAAGTGACATCAGCCTGCTGCACATATTCACA